GGGGGTAGCGGGAGGGAGGGAGAGAGAAGAAGAGAAACGACAAACACTTTGGTAATTTATGTTGCGGCGATGGCGTAGAGGGAGAGAAAAAAATGGCCCACGCACGTCCGAGTATTTCATTATAAACTTTAGACTCGGCCGGCTGCGGCGCACTCCAGGCGCGATAACAGCGAGTCCTTAGCGCAACCAGCCCGCGCTGCCACTCCGCAGTACACTGCTAGAAAAACAATGGGTTGCAAGCACATTTTTTTTTGTTTTTCAATTTTAAGCGGAGTATGTATAGTTCTTCCGTTAATTAGAAGAAATTATCGGTGAAGCATTGCGGGCACCGCTCCCAGCTGCGTATTTTAAGGAGTGAATTGGACACGAAGTGGGCGAGAGAAGCTACCCAGTCACTTTGGCGAGGCTTCCAGCGCCCGTGTTCTTCGGTCTTTCCGTCTATTTGTCCATCTGTCCATTTGTTCGTCTGTCCGTTTGTCTGTCAGTCGGTCTGTCTGCCTGTCTATACGGCTTTCCTCCTCCTTCCGGCGGCGCTTGTGCCGCGAAAACGGGAGCACGTCTCAGGGGGCCTTAGTTTGTCGCCATAAATACGAACAACTTTCTCCTTCGCAGTGCCGGAGTAAATTCGATTGCAATGTTTAACGCGCTCCTTCTCCCGGACGGCCTACACTGCGCAGCCTGACGCTTCCAGTTGCGAAGGCGTTGAAGCCGCCGCCGTCTCGGCTCGCGTTCGTGAAGGGCAAGGGCAGCACAGGCATCGACGCGAAGAGCGACAGAACGGTTAAGGTGATCTGTTTGGAGAGACGGCTCGGCTGGCGCTCCGTTCGTTAGCTCCAGTTTCCTTTATTTCTCCGCTTCTTCTTCTTCTTCTTCTTCTTCTTCTTCTTCTTCTTCTTCTTCTTCTTCTTCTTCCTCTTCTCAGCAGGAGCATGGATAGTGAGGTCGTGCTGCAGGAAGAAGGATGAAAGCACATCGACGTGATCTTGAGATAATCGAAAGGAAGGCTCCCATACGTCCGCCTCCTGCCTGTAGAGACGCTTCCCACGACGGGTTCGCTACTGCCGCTCTACCTTTACCCTTATACGCTCTCATACCATGTTGCCCCGATTTAGTCTACAGTCCAGAGATCCAGTCTGAGCACCCGCTTCAGTCTAGCCCCGCTCCGGTCTGCGCGCACAGGGAGTGGGCGTTTAACACACTAGCTGCCCTAAATCTGGGCGTAATCCCCACTCTCGTTCGCTGTCGGCTCACGCAACCAGTATACGGTCCCGGGTGGACTTTGAAAAAAAAAACAGCAAAAGATACCTGCACTTTGATCAATTCTGAATTTTAAACAAAGTGATGATGTACATGCAGACGCGAACTTTTCTATGGATACAAAATGCCCCTTTGTCATAGAGAATTTCACACTCTGAAGCAGATGGGAGCATATTTTCGGAACCTGACTTTCATCCTCATGCAAATTGCTGACAATGTTTGTGTGTGTGTGTGTGTGTTTTATTTTTAATCTCCAACGAACAGCTTGTTTGATGGAGAGGTGTTACACTGCGCCCATATACCCCTTCCTTCTTCCAAGAATCCACGCCCCGTTCTCGTCTCCAATTAAAAGCTGCGCAACTCTTTCGCACCCGAGTGGTTCCGGAGTGGTTCCGATATGCGCTGAGCATGCGGGGGGGGCAGAAAACGGCTCGCGCTATGGCCGAGGTTGTTGGCGGGGTGCTCGAGCAGCAGAACGGGCGGGGCGGACGGGTGAGCGCTCTGAGCGAGGTGGAAGCCAGCCACATTGGCGCGGCGCGGGGCGGCTCACTCTCCTGCCTCTCAAACATTTCCCATCACACTTAATTAGCCCACGGGTATGGCGGCGCCCCCGCGCGCGCCCGCGTCGCGCTTATGTGCGGGCCGGGCCAGGAATATCATAACCGGCAGACCGTTCACCCCGGGCGCTCCCGCCTCGTTTGTGTGTGTGTGTGTGTGTGTGTGTGTGAAAGGTAACGGTCCCCTTGTGTGTAGCGAGCACACCCGCCCACCCATACAATGCCATCGCGGGGCCCTTGTGGCGGTCGGTCTCGGCGCTGTTGAGCAAGGGCGGCGGGGGCGCGCGCGGTTGCGGGTGACAACTCTCTCTCTCTCTCTCTCTCTCTCTCTCTCTCTCTCTCTCTCTCTCTCTCTCTCTCTCTCTCTCTCTCGGAACCAGTTGTGCCGCGTGCCGGGCAACGGCACTACAAGGGCCCTCATGGAGGAGAGCGCGCGCCACGGTGTAGCTACGCGGAATGCGGCGAGGAGCAGGAGCTTTGGACGGGAAGGGAGGAGGGTCGTGACCGTGTATGACCTTACTATAAGCTTGACTGTCACGTTTACTCGTCACCGTCACACACACGCGCATTTCAAAAAAACAGATTGCGTACATGACAAACTCGCTTCTTTTCCATAATTTCGCAAAAACTTCTATTCCTGGTTGTTCCCTTCCGCATCTGGCAGCCGGAAACTTTTTTTGAGGCGCGCGAGCGAGAGTAAAACGCAGGGTTCGGCCGCCGCCGCGGTTTGGGCAGAGTTGGTGTTGTTGGTCCTCCCCCTGCGCGAAAACACCGACTCAGCAGAAAGCAGGTCGGGTCGACCAAAAAGAATACGCGACGTTGGCGGAAGGAGAAGATGGGTATGCAAACACCACGCTAAACCTCTCCGACCTACATTTGGGAGCCCCCCAGTCCGACGAGGCGAGTGGATGGAGGTGATGGTCCTTCCGCGTATCTCTCTCTCTCTCTCTCTCTCTCTCTCTCTCTCTCTCTCTCCCTCTTTCGCTCTCTCTCACAGCCGCAGGAAGCACCCCCCGCAGCAGGCCCACAGCGGGCGGCGTCCCAATGTCATTTTCGAGTTATTTTTAATTTTCCGATCCCGGTTACGTCCCGGTTGTTTTCTACTGAGAGAAGCGACAGAAGACGCGGGCT